GCAGCCCTTGGGGCTGCTCTATGAAGTAGCCATTCCAGTATTCCTTTACTTTCCTAATAAACTGGCTTTCACTCTACTGTATGGACTTGCCTGCTTTAATTCTTTCTTGGGTGAGATCCAAGAACCCTCTCAGGGTCTGGATCAAGACCCCTTTGCGGTTACAGTACAAAGGCTCTGATTGTCAAAAGTGGCAAGGTCACTGGAACTCCATTTCAGATCCCATCTGGATCATCAAAACATCAACCCTAAATAAAGAAATTCAGGAAATATGGTTAAATGTCGAGTTTAGTTTAGCCCAAAGTTTGAGGACGGCCACCCTGAAACACAGATTCCAAAGAATGGAAATCAGCACTCCAACATGAGGAAGTTTGGGGATCATTTATACAGGTAAGGTTTGGGAAGCCTGACAGAGTTTCCACATATTTCACACAACGTGAGTACATGGTTAACAGTAATCTGATTAGTCAAGGCAGTAGTCTTTTTGGGAAGGGTGTATTTCACATTCACATAGAGGATGTAACAGTCACGGGGTCTTTTGCACTGTCTGGTCTGATTTAGGTGCAAGATTATAATAGAGGAAAGGTCAGCAATCTAAAAGGGAGATCTTAATGCTGATGCCATTTAGTCTTTTTAAATCAATTTACAGAGCAAGAACAGGAGAGTTAATCTATAATCTATAAGCAGAAGTTGTAGTTACATGCTGCATGGCTCAGATCACACAGTCCCATTTTCTTCAAGACTCAACGTAATTCTTAGGGTTCAAAAGTGTATGACTAAGTTTGGATTTTTGTTTGTTTGTTTTTGTTTTTGAGACGGAGTCTCTCTCTGTCGCCTAGGCTGGAGTGCAGTGGCGTGATCTTGACTCACTGCTAGCTCCGCCTCCCGGGTTCACGCCACTCTCCTGCCTCAGCCTCCCAAGTAGCTGGGACTACAGGTGCCCACCGCCATGCCTGGCTAATTTTTTGTATTTTTAGTAGAGATGGGGTTTCACCATGTTAGCCATGATGGTCTCGATCTCCTGACCTCGTGATCTGCCTGCCTCAGCCTCCCAAAGTGCTGGGATTACAGGCATGAGTCACCACTCCCGGCCTTTTTTTTTTTATTTTTTTTTCTTCTGAGATGGAGTTTTGCTCTTGTTGCCCAGACTGGAGTGCAATGGTGCGATCTTGGCTCACTGCAACCTCCCCCTCCCAGGTTCAAGCAATTCTCCTGCCTCAACGTCCCGAGAAGCTGGGATTACAGGTGCCCGCCACCACGCCCGGCTAATTTTTGTATTTTTAGTAGAGATGGGGTTTCACCATGTTGGTCAGGCTGCTCTCGAATTCCCGACCTCATGAACTGCCTGCCTCGGTCTTCCAAAGTGCTGGAATTACAGGTGTGAGCCTCTGCGCCTGGCCAAGTGTGGGTTATTTTTACAAGATGATGCTGGAGAGTTTCTATGGCCACCACCCTTCTAGACTCTCTGATACTGGCGCTTCAAGCCTGAATGCTACATTTCCTGGATGCTGTTGCCGATTGGCAACGTTCCTATCATGCTTTATCAGAACAAAGTTGGAAGGCAGAAAGAAAGGAGAAACCATTTTTTTCAGACTTCTGCCAGTGGCTTAGGTGGTGGTGACAACAACAGCTGTGACTTTAGCAATCATGGTGGAAGCAACTGTGGTTAGCAAGGGTGAACACATCTGGGTTCCTTCTGGAGGCACAGTGATTGTGGGTTATGGGTCCTCCTGTGCTTTATTTATTTATTATTTATTGAGACGGAGCTTCGCTCTTGTCATCCAAGCTGGAGTGCAATGGCGTGACCTCAGCTCACTGCAACCTCCGCCTCTCAGGTTCAAGTGATTCTCATGCCTCAGCCTCCCAAGTAGCTGGGATTACAGGCGCCCACCACCACGACTGTCTAATTTTTGTATTCTTAGTAGACACGGGGTTTCACCACGTTGGCCAGGCAGGTCTCGAACTTCTGACCTCAGGTGATCCACCCGCCTTGGCCTCCCAAAGTGCTGGGATTACAGGCGTGAGCCACCATGCCCAGCCACCTCCCCTGCTTTAATCTTTCAGCCCTAGAGGGGCTAGCAGCCTCATATAGTTATGTATCTTCAGGTAAACTTACCTTCCCCTTTTGTTTTTCCAGTATTCCAACACTTTTATACTATATTTGTTCTTCCAGTACTTCAACACTTTTATACCCTGTATTCGTTTGTGTATTCATTTATTTTTCTTTATTTATTTTTTAGAGACAGAGTCTCACTCTGTCACCTAGGCTGGAGTGCAACGGTGATTTCTCAGTTCACTGCAACCTTCCCCTCCCAGGTTCAAGCAATTCTCCTGCCTCAGCCTCCTGAGAAACTGGGATTACAGGTGTAATTACAGGCCCCCGCCACCACACTGGGTTAATTTTTGTATTTTTAGTAGAGGTGGGGTTTCTCCATGTTGGCCAGGCTGGTCTCAATCCACCTGTCTCAGCCTCCCAAAGGGCTGGGATTATAGGCGTGAGCCACAGAGCTTGGCTCAATCCCCTGTATTCAATATCCTCTGTTTGAAGTACTTAGAAGTACTTCTCTTTTCCTTATGGAATACGTACTGATAAAGCACTCAAGACAGTTAAAAACCTTCATTACTCTGTTGATGTAACAAAAGAAGCTGAGGCAAAGTTAATATAAGTAGAGAGTTTGGGCCAAGGTTGAGGATTGCAGCCCAGGAGACATAGATTCAAGTTGCCCTGAATATATGCTTTGATTAGCAAGTTACAAGTGGGATCTTTTTGTTTTTGACTTTGTTTTGAGACAGAGTCTCACTCTTTCACCCAGGCTGGAATGCAGTGGCGCAATCTCAGCTCACTGCAACCTCCACCTCCCGAGTTCAAGTGATTTTCTGACCTCAGCCTCCCAAGTAACTGGGACTACAGGCGTGCACCACCACACTTGGCTAATTTTTGTATTTTTTTTTGTAGAGATGGGGTTTCACCATATTGATGTTTCACCACATTGGCCAGGCTGGTCTCCAACTCCTGAACTCATAATTCCCCTCAGCCTCCCAAAGTGCTGGGATTACAGGTGTAAGCCACTGCACCTGGCCACAAGTGGGTTTGTGTCTTTCTTATTTATTTATTTATTTATTTATTTATTTATTTATTTATTTATTTATTTATTTATTTTTGAGACAGAGTTTCGCTTTTGTTGCCCAGGCTGGATTGTGTGATCTCGGCTCACTGAAACCTCTGCCTCCTGGACTCGAGCGATTCTCCTGCCTCAGCCTCTTGAGTAGCTGGGATTACAGGCACCCACCACCATACCCAGCTAATTGTTTTGTATTTTTAGTAGAGACAGGGTTTCACCATGTTGGCCAGGCTGGTCTTCAAATGATCCACCCGCCTCAGCCTCCCAAAGTGCTGGGATTACAAGTGTGAGCTACTGTGCCTGGCCATCTTATTTTATTTTATTTATTTATTTATGTATTTATTTTTCGAGATGGAGTCTCACTCCTGTTGCCCAGGCTGGAGTGCAGTGTTACGAACTCGGTTCACTGCAACCTCCACCACCTGAGTTCAAGCTTTTCCTGCCTCAGCCTCCTGAGTAGCTGGGATTACAGGCGCCTGCCACCACGCCTGGCTAATTTCTGTACTTTCAGTAGAGATGGGGTTTTGCCATGTTGGCCAGGCTGGTCTGGAACTTCTGACCTCAGGTGATCTGCCCACCTTGGCCTCCCAAAGTGCTGGGGTTACAGGTGTGAGCCACTGTGTCTGGCCCACAAGTGGGTTCTTAAAGGAAAAAGAAAGGGCAGTTCCTAAAGTGTTTATTGAGGATTTACATACAATAACCTAAGCTGTTGATTGGCTATACATTGTTCTTTTTTTTTTTTTTTTGAGACAGAGTCTCGCTCTGTCACCTGATCTCGGGTCACTGCAGGCTCCGCCTCCCGGGTTTATGCCATTCTTCTGCCTCAGCCTCCCGAATAGCTGGGACTACAGGTGCCCACCACCATGCCCGGTTAATTTTTTGTATTTTTTAGTAGAGAGGGGGTTTCACCGTGTTAGCCAGGATGGTCTTGATATCCTGACTTCGTGATCCGCCTGCCTCGGCCTCCCAAGGTGCTGGGATTACAGGCGTGAGCCACCAGGCCTGGCCACGATGTTTAGATTTCTAACAAATCACATAATCTCAAAGTGCCTGTAATTCCAGCACTTTGGGAAGCCAAGGCGGGTGGATCACTTGAGGTCAGGAGATGGAGACCAGCCTGGCCAACATGGTGAAACCCCATTCTACTAAAAACACAAAAATTAGCCAGGCATGGTGGTACATGCCTGTAATTCCAGCTACTTGGGAGGCTGAGGCACGAGAATCACTTGAACCTGGGAGGCGGAGGTTGCAGTGAGCCGAGATCATGCCATTGCACTTCAGCCTGGGTGACACAGCGAGACTCTGTCTCAAAAACAAACAAACAAACAAACAAACAAAAATGAAGTAAACATCTCAAGTCTCACCTAGAGCTACCAATCAGCCTAAGAACCCCAGTTTGTGTTTAACAAGCCCTTATAGGGTGGTTCTAACACAGTTTCAGGGTGAGACAGCTCCCTGCTCTAGACTGTCAACTGGGGGTAAAAAGTGTGTTGACCTGATGCACAATTAGTTCACCTGTGTCTAGGCCACGGGTCTGGCCCAAGGTAGAGTGCTCAACACGTGTTTGGCAGGTGAATGGTTGTTGAATGAATCATAAAGCGTGCAGTGCTCATCTGAGTGGCAGGAGTTACCCTGAATCATTGAAGATGCTGGAGCAGCTGCTTGTGAAACACCAGGCAGGAGGAGATGGACAGGAGGCTGCGTCCCCACCCCTGAGATGGCCGGCCTTCTGCCTTGCTTGCTGGGAACTGGTGCCAGGCCAGACACACTGTGCCACCATCATAGGATGCCTGGTAAGGAGAGGCCAACCTTCCCTGAAGAAACCCCGTGCTGCTGTGGTCAAGTTGCCTAATCGGACTTCCTTCTTCACTCTGTATGTAGAAATTGGCCCTGGAGGTGTATGTGCTGGGTGCCCACAGCCAATGGAAGGTAATGTATCTTTATTTTATTTATTTTATTTTTTGAGACAGGGTCTTGCTCTGTCACCCAGGCTGGAGCATTTGAATAAATAAATGCCCTGTAATTCCAGCATTTTGGAAGGCCGAGGCAGGCAGACTGCTTGAGGTCAGGAGTTCGAGACCAGCCTGGCCAACATGGTGAAACCCCATCTCTATTACAAACACAAAAATATGGCCAGGCGCGGTGGCTCACACCTGTAATCCCAGCACTTTGGGAGGCTAAGGCAGGCGGATCACCTGAGGTCAGGATTTTGAGACCAGCCTGGCCAACATGGTGAAACCGTCTCTACTAAAAATACAAAAGTTAGCCAAGCGTGTTGGTGGGTGCCTGTAATCCCAGCTACTAGGGAGGCTGAGAGAGGAGAATTGCTTGAACCTGGGAAGCAGAGGTTGCAGTGAGTGTAAATCACGCCATTGCACTCTAGCCTGGGCGACAGAGCAAGACTCCGTCTCAAAAATAAAATAAAAATATAAATACAAAAATTAGCCGGGCATGGTGGTGCATGCCTGTAATACCCGCTACTCAGGAGGCTGAGGTATGAGAATCACTTGAACCTGAGAGGCGAGGTTGCAGTGAGCCGAGATCGTGCCACTGCACTCCAGCCTGGTTGACAGAGTGAGACAAAATAAAGTAAAATAAAAAAAAAAGTCCTCTAGAATAGTGCTTTTCCTCTAATAACCATACTCCAGCAAGCATCAGGTGCCGGCTGCTCTGTGCCGGGCAGTGAGGGACATAGATGTGTAACAATAACAAACACGTATTACCATTCTCTCTTTTCAGAAGAGGGGCCTAGGGGCCCAGAGAGGTGAATTCAGGGGCGAATTCAACCACTTGCCAGGACACACAGAGCAGCAGGGGAATCATGCCTGGCACCTGGCACTGTGGGTGCTGCAGCGGCACAGAGAGGTGAAGTCCTGCGCCTGAGCTTAGTCAAAACCCTAACGGGCAGACCCAGATTATAAAACATACACAAACAGCTATCCTAGAAATAGGACGCCTTGCGGGGCAGGGTGCGGGTTCCCCAGACTACAACACACACACACACACACACACACACACACACACACACACACAGCTATCCTAGGAACAGGACGCCTTGCGGGGCAGGGTGAGGGGGGCAGGGTGCGGGTCCCCCAGATTAGAACACACACACTGCGATCCTAGGAACAGGGCGCCTTGCGGGGCAGGGTGACGGTCCCGACGCTCCGCGGGGTGGGCAACCGCCTCCCCAGGCGCACTGGCAGGGGGACGGCCTCCCTAACAGAGAACCAGGCCTCGGCATGGGCTGGAGGGATGACAGAGCATGGCCGACTCGGCCAGCGGCCGGCGGTACGAGAGTCCGAACGACGTTGGAAGCAGGGGCAGGGACAGCGGGCAAGAGAGCACTGCACGCAGACGCCTCGGGCCCCGCCCATCAAGTTGCCG